AAAGAGTGTAGGAAAGTTGGATTTTGTTATTTTTGAACAGGAGCTGAGCTGGGATCTGGGCAGGAGGGAGAGGAGGGTGAGGTGCTGTGCCCTTCTCTGGGAAAACTTCTGCCCGCATCTCCCTTCATCTTCCTTCCCTACAGCCCAGCAAAACTGGTGTCTTGGACAAAATTAAGTTGATTTGAATTATTTAATTAGCTAGAAATTAATTATTTATTATGTAAACTACATCCCTCTTTCCACCCTGACCTCCACATCTGGTCTGATCCCTAATGTTCACATCATTTTCTCTCCTGACTCCCTTGTGTCCCTTCCTTCCTTTGCTCCAAAATGCCCCTCACACACTGGGACGTGGATTTGCTCCCAAAACACCCGGGGCCTTTTCCAAAGATGCTGCTGCTCTGCTGGGAGGTGGGACATGGGGAGGTTGCTGTTTTGCCCTCTTGAATCCAGTCTCAGCCCAGCCTGTGCTTTTAACTCCTTTGTAAAGAATGAGGGATGTGATCTCCAGGGAGAGCTCCAGGTACAGTGCAGAGCAAACGAGCACCTATGACAGTAGCAGAGCTGGTTTTACAAGTGCTGACACTGATTTGGTGGCAATTAGAGACTGGATGAGATAATCCTCTCTGAAACTGTTTTGTGTGTTCTTGATTGTCTTATCACCTACGTGCTGGGATCAAATTGTGCCCAAGGGCCTGATGCTGTGAGACTGAGATCCCACCTGGGGCTGCCCTGGGACTCTGGGGCACCTTAAAGCTGTGACCCCAAACTGTGGGTTCTGCATCTGACTCTGAACTTCTCTAGAGTGTGGGCTTGTGCTTTGCATCTGATGTTTTTAGGCCTGCTCTGTCCTTAATTAGGAGAGGGCCCACAGGGACTTTCCTTTTCCCTCTTCAGAGGGTATTTTGACAGTCACTCGAGAGCCTTCTGTTGTCCTGAAAGGGGATCTGTGCTCCCTGCTAATGGATGCTGTCATTAATACTTCCACCAGCAAGGGAGGGATGGGCACACTGGAGAACACATGCATTAGCCCTCTCCTCTGGAGCCCCTGGGAGCTGGGAGTGATCCATTATCATGGAGGCAGAGTTAAAGAGCTACAGAGAGATCCTGAGTCCTCCTGAGCCTCTCTGGGAGAGGAGATGCTGCCTGGTCCAGCAACCCACAGCTCCAGCTGGGACTGTGGAGCAGCAGCACTTGCAGGAGGCAACTCCAGCAGGACTCTGGGCGTGGGGTGAGAAAGGGCTTTGGAAGGAGATGAGCTTTAACAAGAGATGCCATGGCCAGCACAGGCAAAGTGCAGCCTGTTCCCAGGATAACTGGGTGTAATTCAATCTCCTGTGGTTGGGTGAGGAGATGAGCATTTGGGTCTAAGTGGGGCAGCCCCTTCTGCTGCACCACTCCCCAGAGAAGGATTCCTGAGGGTGGGTGATGCAGGAATTCTCCCTATGCTGAGTGTGCCTTTTATTAAGTGTTGTTGCTAAGGCTGGAAAGGACACAGTTTTGATCTTTGCTGGGTTTTGCCTTGCAAAACCTGTTCAAGGTTAGGTACATTTTGTTCATCTCCAGAACAGAATGTTTCAGTGAGCTGCAAGTGCTTTGGCTGTAATGTATCTGTCCTCTTGTAAATCTGCCTGTGGTCAGGAGAGCTTGATTTAGGTGCAAATTCTGGATTCAGACTTTCCTGAGCTTTTTTGGGTTCAGATCAGCTGGTGGCTCCAGGACCTGCAGCAGCTGCTGCTGCAGAAATCCTTGGACCATCCAAAAACTATCCTAAGCAGTGAAATCTCCAAAGTGCAGGTGGGGAGCAGAAGCACCCTCCAAGGGGTTCAGACCCCCACGGTGGAGTTCAGCCCCCCAGTCATCCCATAACAGACACCAAACACTGCCTGCTGTTCCCTGCTCCCCACTTCAGGTCAGGACCTGGACCTGCTCACTCCCATGCCTGTCCTCAGCTGCAGCAGAGGTGAGTGCCACAAGTACCTTTAGCAATAGCTGGGGGTCCTGTGTGCCCTCTCTCCTGCCCAGGTGGGCTTGGGTCACTCCTGGCATGTTAGAAAGGTCCCAACGACTCTGCCTCTGCACAGGCCTTCTCTGCTGTGCAAGCTGAGGGAGAGGAGCAGCAGGAGCTGCTTTCCCAGCCATCAGCTTCACCCTCCTGTCCCCATCTCACCCTCACCCAGGGCAGAGCCCACAGGGTGGCTGCTGTCACCACTGCAGGGA